GATTTACAAATAAGGAATCCTACTTCGCGGAATTTCATTTATCACGGTAGGGTCTAGAACCGATTAACCGCGATAAACGAGGGTTCACTGTAAAGAGATATACAGACAGATGGCGAATGGATGAGTGGGATAGGAATGGAGAGGTTGAGGTTGAGAACGGGCGAGAGAGAAATAGACAGATGGACTACAGATGAGAGAGAAGCCACGTCTTGGAAGGCCGCTGCCCTGACCCTGACCCCCACCCCAGCTAATCCAACAAACAAGCTCTCCCACTCGCTACCTCCCCTTCGCTGGCCTCTCTGGCCTTGTCACCCCATCCAAAGTGACCAAAGTCTCAATGCTCGGAGGGCCACTTTCCCCACACTGGAAAGCCCTCCTTCCAGGTCCACATCTCCAAAGGGCAGTAGGAAAACCGGAACTTCCCAACCCAAATACCAGGCTCAGAAAGCAAACCGGACGCGTCGCCTGTCTCCCACTGATGTGCTCTTACCCTTTATATAAAAATCTCTTATACATACGAGTTTCTGTGGATTTGCTTCTCTAGTGTACCCAGACTAACACAGGGAGTGTGGCCGTCTTCTAAGAAGAATCTGGAAACTTCCCGCTCTCCATCTGCCACTTCATCTTCCTGCTTGATGGAACCCGCCCTCCAGAGGCAGCCCCACGTGGGCCGCCAGACCCTGTGAGCTGGTGCCACCCTACCATGTTTCCACTGGCCTTGGATTCACCTGACTCAGCCTGGTTCACCTTTGCTCAGCACTGGCCTGCAGCTACTTGAGTCTGAAAAGGGACTTAGGGACTAACATGTGACTTAATGATCTTGAGTTGGACGTGGCTGAGATGCCTTCCTTGACAAATAAATACTTCTTGAGATAAAACTCCTTCTTATGATGAAGTATCACTGGATTTGTTTCTCTAGACCACCCAGCTTAACACAGAGTGTGGCAGTTACATAATCTGGTATAAATTTGAGACTATTAAGAGTGAAGGGGTGGAGTTTAGCCTGTCAATCAGGTCGCAGCTTGATGACCTCATTTGAC